CCGTTTGGAGAGGCGAGTAAAAGATATTCATTAGTTGGCCTCACCAGAAGCTGTAGGGTGATTACCCTGTAGCGAATAGGTCCTCGGCTCACTTCCCTGCGACCCCGATGAAGTCTTGTTGAGCTTTCGACCGTCATGTGATGAACATCGTCAGAGAAGTACACCATGCTTGACGATAATTCACCAAACACAAAGGCAAGAAAAGTGGCCGGCTTTAAACACCCTATATTCCTATATGCTTCACTTAATGAGGCATCTCATGCTTTGTTTAAATATCCTGTGCTTTGCATAGATATTTTCTGAAAAGTTATATTAAGTGGCTGCGGATGACATATGAAATTTAAATTTATTTTCTATTATTCAAATTACCTTTCTTTTTCATCACTGCTACGACTTGATTTTTGCATTTGCTTATTCTTAATGCGGCATTTATCTTATTGTTGTTTATTCCTTATTAGGTCTTGCAACTAGTTTTACCGGAATAGACCTCCAGCCTCGTATATGCCGGATGCAGAACGACATGCCTTCCTACTACCTGATTGGGCCTCTTCGTTTTGCTCAGGATATGTTTGTTTTCTCCATTTGCCTTTGGCACGCTGATTTCCTAACCGGCCTGATCCCCACTGACCAGGCTCTCCCTGCAGCCGGTCATTCGGGCTTTTATTTTGCCTATAACATGATGGGCACTATTGTAACCAGTCCACCGTTTGGTGATTTGGTACATGCTGACTTTCCAGCTGAACGCTCTAGCGTCATTATACGGTGAGTCGTTTTCGTTGATAATTTTCTTGTTCAATACTTCTAATTATTCTCTTATTTTCTTAACAAAAGATTAGCCTTAGAGTGTGGATTAATTAGTTGTTATTTTAAGAGGTATGCTCGCAATAACTTGATTAAAAAAACAAGGCACTTTAAAGGGTTATATTTAGGGGTCTCTTCATATCTTGTGGTTAGCAGGATATTTTTTTGCTAGGATATTTATAGTAAATGCATATTCCAAGACTCAGTAAATCCAGTCTAGTGATCTCAGGTCGGATAAGTCGACGAAAGAGTAATAATTGAATTTTTCTACAATGGTATGAGTAGGCCTCATATTTCCGTTGAA